CTACAGAGTATTTCAGGTATTCTGGAGCTTTGAGGCAATTCTGCTTGTCATTAGCTTTTAACTATCTATGACTCATTAACTTATTTTTCATTATACAGTTTCTCTTATTTTCATTCTATGTTTTACTGAAAAACAATTATATAATTGAGACGAAGTTTTAATGTGTGGGTGGGCATTTCTCACATCATGCTCTTCTCCACAGGGAGATGGGGAGTACAATTGAAGCAGATCTACCAGAAGTGAGTCAAAATCGACTGTTAATTTGATTAAGGATAAGGCTAATTAAGCCTACTAATTTATGTCGACTGCTAGCAAGCAAAAAAGTACAAACACAAAACATTCTTTTTGTGAAAAACACAATCAAATGGGAATAATATTGTCTCAGTACATTATCTTTATGCAGAAAACTGCTTTAGCATATCATACTAAGGAATTGATCAACATTTCCCTTTTATGTGCATCTGGTTTTAATACATTTTACCTTATGTAAGTTTACCATAAGAAATGCCTGATGTTTTTTTTTAGTTTTCACTAGCATTTCAAATTGGAATTTCTCACTTACCATTGTTTTAGAATATTTTGATATCTTTGCTTAACTCTGTTGAAATTGTAGTCCTATGATTGTTGTTGCCAAGGACAATACTGGGCAATACTGGACAATACAAGTGTTGCTGCAGTACATAGTGATGCAGTTTGAGTCCTTGGTTGCTGAGAATAGCTGTCTCAGACAGATAATAATCTATCCCACTTGAAACAAAGTAGAAACATGTTTATCCCCAGTCCTCTAGTTGAATCTAGAACCAGATCATTTTTCCTTCGAAAAACTCACAGCAACACTTATAGGATAAGACAACATGAATGTGTTTGGAACTCTTTTCGACTCACAGAAATAAATGAGTGACTGAAACCTCTTTTCAGTTTAAGATACATTGTTTCTTGTCAGACCTGGTTCCAGATCTATTCCATATTTTAATTGTAAGACAGCTCTCCATCATTGGTGAGTGTGATTTCTCACTGTGACTGTGGTGTCCTCCCAGCCACCCAGGCCCAGCCCGAAGGAAGAGGAGAGCAATGAGGAGAAAGGCCTGAGGAGACTGTTCGAGCAGATCGCAGGCCCGGTAAGACCAGCGGGGCGGACAAGGCTCGGAGGCTGCAGCAGTGTCCTCTGGTAACGCTGGGACGTTATCCTAAACCACAGCCACTAAATCACCGTGGGAGCCTGCTCTCCTGACATTCCCTTCAGCTGAGCTCTTGGTTTCTTCGTTCAAGTCCTTATATTCAGAAAGTTTTCAATTTAAATCCCCCCAAAATAATAGCAAAAAACTTTATTTTATATAGTGCCTTTAAAAGTGGGTTCTCAAAGCACTTTACATGAAAAAATAACCATGAGAGGATACAGCAGTATAACAGTTACAATAAGGGCTTGGAATTCAGTAGGAAAGCAAAGCAGTTAAATGAAAACCCTTCTAAAGAAGGAGATTTTGAGTTGGATTGCTTTTTTGGAGAGGAACTCAATTTTACACCCATCATTAGCTAATAGAAGTGTTTTAACAGTTCATTTGAAATGACAAGGCCTGAGCGACAAGCCATGAGCTACCCCTTTCCACTGAGGAGCCCTGAGGAGTGTTCCAGTGTCCGATCTGACAGACATCCGCGCAGCCAGCTGAAGGTGTCAGTTGTGTAGCTTGATATCAGACATACATGTTTCAGACTGCGCTCCAGGTGTGTTCCCAGGTGTTTGGGAACAGCTGAGAATTTCTGACAGCAGTTTCTAAACTAGAGGGATCTTTGCTAGGATTAACCACTTCAGTGGATAGTGTAGACGATGCAGAGCTACATCTACTGTACGTGTTATTCTGTTCTGTGTATTACACTGTGACTGGCAAATGCAGCAGACAAAATGGTTTGGCATTTGCTTTCACTAGGAATAACAACAACCAAGGATAAAGTGTCCTGAGAGGATTATAGTCTGAAAATTTGGCTCGGTCTGCTTGGCTGAGGGCTGACCTCCTGGCCAAGGGACGAGGAGGCCGGGACCTCCTTCTAGAGTGAGGGGTGACCCAGGGGCAGTGGCTGAGGAGGAGATGGGGTGGAGGTGGGATGCAGGAGACATATGCGAGGGAGAGAAGGGGATCCCATCCAGTATTTATAGTGTGATTGCTAATGACTGACAGCTGAGGGATTGAACTTGGTTGTTGTCATCCCTCCCCAACTTTCATTACAAACTCCATTTAGTGATGCAAACTCTGAAGGGCTCGTCTGAGTCTGTTTCATCCTGCTGATTTCCCAGTCTTGTGGATTTGCAGGGGTGTGGGGTGTGGCTCTGAGGGCTGGTCTGTTAAAAGGACTGCGGACGAGTGAAGTGAATGTTTCTCTTTACTTCCTAGGATATGGCTATCTGTGCAGAAGAACTTCAGAAGATACTGAATGGTGTCCTGAGCAGACGTGAGTAGTGAGATTGGAGATAAAGACCAACAATATAGCATAAGCATGTAATAATTCCACCAACTCTGCTTGTATTCTGTCCGGTCAACTGTTACAGTGAAGAATTTTGCCAGTTGGATGAAGAAACACACCATTTTCTTTCATACCATAAACTTTCAGGTTATGATTATAACATCTGTTCTGATTTTATTTTTTTAGGGAAGGAGATCAAATTTGATGGCCTTACTCTTAACACTTGCCAGAGCATTATCAATTTGATGGATGTATCCTTTTTGAAATTGCTTGACTGGAAATGTTGGATAAATGACCAATGATT